TTCAAGCTTCTAGCAAAATAGTTAAAAATGATACTGTAAGTACCTTGCCCTGAGAGGTTGAGGTGAAGCTTATGTTGAGTTGGAGGGCCATGCGTGCCAGGAGACAGACCGTATCATTGGCATTGGTGACATTGTAGTTGCCCCGCTCTGGGGGTCCTGGGGTGACAGGAGAGGCCGGAGGAGAGCTGGTTTCAGGGGTGGCCGCAGTGGTCGGAACATTGGAGGTCAAAGTCTGGTGTATGGTTAGAGCTGTAATGACGATAACTTTATTATTTTACAAGGTTTTACACAAGTTGTAGCAGTGGTTAGATGCACTCAGTATTTTTTCTATGCTTATTCCAATAGTATAAGCCATTTTTTAGACTAAGCTTTATTGGTCTAGAAGCATAATGTTGAAGGTTACTGCAGGTTGCACCTAGTCAAATTTACGACTTTAAGACCATCAAGAAAGAAATTTTAGACGTGTACAGGGCTAAATGCTAAGGGTTTTCTTAATGGCCCAACAGAAAAAAATATGTATAAATAAATAAATGACACACACACACACACACACACACACACACGACCCGACCCGACCCAACCCGACCCGACCATTAGTCACATATTTTAAATGTGTCAAATAATCAGACCCTAGAGTTGTATACAAGCAATTTTTTTCAACTTAATAAAATCTCTTTAAAACATAATGTTATATCAGTTACAAAAAGTTTAAAAGTTTTATAGAGATGTGTTGGATCGATTGGGTAGCTTTACATAACCAAAGGTAACTTAAGATGCGTTTAAAGTGATTGAAGACTTACAAGACCATATTCCAGTGAACTTAGGACTATTTAAAGCCTAAAGTTTTGTTTTTGCCATTTAAAACCCCACGAACACCCAGAATGTTGGTCTGCATTTTTCATTTATTTTTTTTTATTATCCCTACTTGACTATTGTTACTACTTAAAGCAGGGCTTATAGATTGACATGAGACTGCATCAGAAAGAAAGAAAAACAGATTCAATTTACAAACATTTTTAAAATAATATTCCATTCGTCTTATATAAAAAGGTGTATAATAATAATAATAAAAATGTACTGCATTATACATTTATGTAGCTTTTGTAAAACAGTATGTGAGCTGTGTAACATGTATGATTTTTAATTTTAAAAACAGTAGGCTAAACATCCAAATGACTATGAGGTAAAGTTGGTTTAATATCCCCACATTCTTTCAGTGACAACTACTCATATTTTCTTAACGACAGTACTTTAAACATTCTGACTGAAGTCACATGCAAGAATAACTTGCATGTACTTTGATAGTCATTGGCTGCTAGTATAATTTAAATATTTAGAATTTGTAAAAAATACTTTTCTAAAATTATATTATTAATGAGAAAGTCTGAATGTGGGAATATAAAACCAACTTTACCTCAATCCAAATGACCTAGTACTCTGCTGAGATTCTGAAGTGCACTATTACTGAGCACTTTTTTCTTTTCCATGAGGCCGTGAGAGAGGATTGATGAATGGCACTGAACCAACAAAACTAACACTGGTAGGTCATATGATAATGACAACATAGTGGATGTAGAATATAACTTTTTTTGACAGCAATAAATTTCATATTCAGAAGTAGTAACTATTCAGACAGAACGAAAAACATTTCGGACACAAAGCTGTTAATGTAACATCAACATGGTGGCGTCCACGAGGGGATGACCCGTCAAAAGCACATTACAACAATGCACGTTTTGGTGGATTCTGATATGATAATGAGTCTTCATTTTATGTATATAAATGTATTGGAATTGCTCATTTTTATTGTACGAATGTTTTCTTATTTGTCGAAATTATACGGGGGCTCCTTTAATACATATATTCAGGTAACTGTTAGGACCGTAGAATGACGTTGGTTTTCTGTAACGACATCGATACATTTTAAATCAGTGGTTCTCAAACTTTTTTTCATCAAGTACCACCTCAGAAAAAAATTGTCTCTCCAAGTACCACAAAAATGAGCAGTATTGAAATACAGTAGCGTAGTAGACCCAGTAAAGCAGCTACAACTCTGCAAAGTAAAAAAAAAAATGTGGCAGATTACCTCAGAAATATAGGCTAAATGTCACATATGGCATATTATTTACATAATTTTTGAAAAATTTTGAAATGTGTATAGCATGTACATGACATATTTTATTCCTCCACGTACCACTAGAAGGAAGCCTGCGTACCACTATTGGTACACGTACCACAGTTTGAGAACCACTGTTTTAAATGATATACATCAATAAGTAACGTTAAAACTATTTCCTCCCAAATTATCAATCATTATCTCAGCTTTCCTGACACAGCAGGCCTAGACCAAGGTATTACATGAATAACGCTATTTCTAATAAAGAAAAAAACATGAAAAGCAAAGATAAATAAGCCACGGCGTCACGTAGTTTAGACTCTTACAATAACAATAATGAACTGACCAATTAAAAATAACCAACCCAAATAGTGCTCCATCCCAAAATACAGTATATCAAAATCAAACTTACCTAACAGCAGGCTAAAAATTGCCCCGACGGGTCTGTTTTGTTTGGGGATGATAGAGATCATGTTTCTTGCCAAAGTAAATCAAAACACGCTCGATAAAAACAGATGATGTCAGTGTAATTAATAAGCGTCTCCAAGCTATCTAGCCAGATAACTGTCGTTATGCAGCAGAGGAAAATGGTCTGTTTGAGCTGCCGTTGTGCCCAATCTACATCTGATTACAAACGCAGTAGGTCAGATTTGTTTAGTTTCTCGCAGCAGGAAACACCACTGTCACGTGAGCGGCCGCTTAAAACAAGTAAGCGCATGCGCGTATTTTTCTCGTTTTTAATTTAGAAATTTGGTTTCTTCATTTTTAGGACTAATAAGACAAATATACTATGATGTGATGCGGCTAAATAAACAAAATTAAATTATAATAAAATGTATTATTATTCATATTCGTTGTTCCACCTCTCCCGTAACACGCACTTGCACTTAGTTGACGATTCGTCACCCTTCAGCCATAGAAACGGTCTAATATATAATTAATAGTCGATAAACTGACTACCTTGTAGTAGTGTTGCAAAGGAAATATTTGGGGGGAAAATAACATTTGGCAAAACTGCATTAACAAGCTCACAGAAGTGATGTAGATATGTAAACCGATGAGGGCGCATGTGACTCAGGATGCTCCTATGTGTTACATTATGCAGAGACAATTTACAAGCAGGCTAAAGATTTCAGGACCATCCCAGAAGGACATCACAGATGTGTGATACTTGACCTTTTAACCTTTTGGTCATTTTCTCTATAGACTAGGCCTACTACAGTCTTAATAGGTAAAATTAAAGCTCCAAAAATGTGTTAATGTGTTTTTACAGCGATGCTATGGAAGAACTATTTTTGGTTAGTTCTATGGGGGCCTGGGATTGGAATGAGTTTTGAAATTCATGAAATGATATTATACATGGCAAAAATCTGTCAAAGGCACTCGAAATGTGTATAAAAAATAGTAAAAAGCCTTATTTGACATGGATATGTTATATTGAAGGATAAGCTATGTCAATAAAGGCATTGGGCGGGTGTTTAAGGCTATTTAGATTGTTAGTGTTGATATCAAAGATAGAAACTGTAATAATACATTTCTTAGAAGTTTGATTCATTATCATGCAACTTTTAGACAAGTACCCCAGACAGCACACATACGTTGGGCCGACGTCGTGCCGATTTTCAAAATTCCATCGGTGCGATGTCGCTCAGGGAGCGTTTGCTAATTGGCAAAATGTCGCCGCGACGTCGGCAAATGATCGGAAACGCTGTCCGGCCGATGTTAGGACGACGCAACCGGAAATGCCGGCCGCTCCGCGGAGGCGCTGTTCTCAGGCGTTTTGCTCCATACTTATGGACCACTAGCTGCAGCAGCTGCTTATTTATAATAAACACGACACACCACTCTCAATAACAGTTGAAGATTTATTAATATTTTTCACAAACATACAAATAGATTAACATACTTTTATCACACATAACCATGTTTTACTACGTTTAAAACAAAACCAACAAGTTGTACTATAATCATGGCTGAAATACTGTGCAATAAAGATTTTAAATACAAAGTCCATTGCAGCATTTACATTAAGACCATAGGAATATTTACAAGTACTTCAAAACATGTACACTAAGGGTGACTATAGTTTACTATAGTAAAAACACAAATCACTTGTGTAAGCACATGTTATAATGCTTATAATTTCTTAAATAGTGTTAAAGAAAATGCATGTTTCCAAGACTATAATTTTAAAATACAAGATAATACCAGTCATGTGTTCAGTATCCAAAAGACTTTCTTCAGGGAGTTACGATAAAAAAAAAAAAGAGTACACAAACACAAAATAAATACCAAGCAAACAATATTTACAGTAGTAAATAAAATCATACAAATTAAAATAATTGTCTGATAAAATTTTATTAAAGTCTGTAGTCAATTTTTTTTACATTTTTTTTATAAATGGCATTCAACAATTTGCAATCTCCTCTGAACTAATAACACACCCATAATATAAAATAATACTTTCTCAGAGATAACCAGTTTTTTTTAAGCAAACTCTAATGCACGACACAAAACAGATTTTGTCATTATATATATATATATATATATATATATATATATATATATATATATATATATATATATATATATATAAAACCTTAATTTCTGTTTAACGGAAATATTTTTTAACACATTTCTAATCACAATAGTTTTAATAACTCATTTCTAATAACCGAGTAAATAATATTTGACTAGATATTTTTCTATACAGCTTAAAGTGACATTTAAAGGCTTAATTAGGTTAATTAGCTTAACTAGACAGGTTAGGGTAATTAGGCAAGTTATTGTATATCGATGGTTTGTTCTGTAGACAGTCGAAAAAAAATGCTTAAAGGGGCTAATAATATTGACCTTAAAATGTTTTTTAAAAAATTCAAAACTGTTTTTATTCTAGCCGAAATAAAAGAAATAAGACTTTCTCCAGAAGAAAACATAACATTTTCTTGCTCTGACCTTTATTTATATAAATAAAACTGGTTGTAAATTGTGTACAATGTTCCAAGAAAACAGACAAAATTAAAAGAAATAACCTGTCATTTACTTTTGTTTTATCTTGTGGAATGTTGCTTACACATAAAAGGGGATATATAGGTGGAATAAAAAGTGTGTCGCCATCCTCGAAATTGTTCTTGTATGTTGTCTTCATCTTTAGTCTTCACAAGTGAGGCTGGCCCAAACCGGGACTGCAGTAGCCAAATCTAATCCTTGTAGTGGGAACCCTTAAATAAAGCAAGAAACCAAAAGGAGAAAGATTAGCATTGCAGCAGTTCATATTACCACAAATATAAATTATTTGTTTCATGACATATAACTGGAGTATGTGTTATGCAAGTGACTAGCTAAAATGTGTAATTTAATTTAAACTTAAAGAGTGTGTCTGAGCACTAATTTTCAGAAAAGCCATTTGAAAGTTAAATTCCTTGTGAAATTATAATGAATGTTTTTTTTTGGTTTTTAGTATCATTGTGTTAGTATAAATGTGTCTCTAAATATATGTCAAATCTTCAGATACCACATTACATGCAAATTAAACTAAGTTTCGTCAACTAAAATGTCACACTGTACACCACATTTAATATATCATAGCTAGGGCCAGGAGGAATCTGCGGATGTTTTTTGCTATTTCTGCTGAAACTTTTGGTGGAAGTCTGCGGAATTATTTTGGGAGTATCATAACTAAAACCTTAATATATGAAATAAAAAATAATATATTTTAAAGTTTTATTTAATGTTTAAAATGCAAATCCAATTAGATTCACTTTATTTGGTAAATAAAGCAAGTTTTTCATGTAACATATCTAGTAAGACAGAAAATATTACTGTACAAACTGCATTGTACATAAATCAGATGAACATTTTCACATTAGTCAATAATATTACTGAAATTAATAAAAAAACTGAATAAATATAGATTTACACACATTTACTCAAGTAAATAAACAGAATTAATGATAGGCTAAACATCTGCGGAGTTATGCGAAAAATCCGGGTGGGCCTAATCATAGCTTTATTTCTGCTACAAAAAGGTTTTTCAGCAAACAACTTCTATTATATGTAGGCTATAGAGGAGGATATATGAAGAAATTATATATTCAACTCTCTAATTAAATGCACCTTATGCAGCTAATCAGGTCTTTTAGGCTTATTTGAAAACTTAAATGACGTGTTGACCACAGTTGAACAACGCTCAGTGAGAATACTTTTTTTCCACAAATTCTTTTTGTTCTAAAGAAACATGTCTGATTGCTAGCAATCATCAAAGAGCAAACTTTTTTTTTTTCAAATAAATACTATGCTCTTAAAAATAAACTTTTCATACATCAAGAATACTAAAAATATGTTTATTTAAAATGTTTTATATATAAAAAAAAAACAGCTTGAGGAGAGAATCAGTACATTGGAATACTATTTTTTCAGAAGGATCATGTGACACTATTAATTATATACATTGTATTAAATTCACAGTATTACTGCTTGACTGTATTAATTGAATAAAGCTGACACTATCAGAAGAGAATTTACCATACCAACCTAAAAGCTATGAAACAGTAGTGTATGTTTAAGATGTTACGTACTAGTCCTATTGTACTTTGGAGAGGTTGTCTGACAGGAGGATCCCTTCAACTCAGCAGAATTCTCAGCAGACCATCAGCGTACACCAATCTAAGAATAAAATAAGCAATTTGTTAAAAACCAAAAATATATATTTTATATTTCCAGGTTTATAGGAAAGAAGAAAGCTAAAGCAGATTTAAAATGTAGAAAAAAATAAAACCTATTGACAATTTAATGGCACAACATACCCTAAACTAAGCACGCTCAAATGGTTAATTTTAACAGTTAAGGATTCATTCATTCATTGTCTTTTGGGCTTAGTCCCTTTATTAATCTGGGGTCACCACAGCGGAATGAAAGGCCAACTTAGCCAGCCTATGTTTTACGCAGTGGATGCCCTTCCAGCTGTAACCAATACACACTCATTCACACACACTTATACACTATGGTCAATTTTAGCATACCCAATTCACCTATGTCTTTGGACTTGGGAAAACCGGAGCACCCGGAGGAAACCCATGCCAACACGGGGAGAGCATGCAAACTTCACACAGAAACGCCAACTGACCCAGCCGAAGCTTGAAGCAGCAACCTTCTTGCTGTGAGGCAAACGTGCTACCCTCTGCGCCACCGTGCTGCCCTGTTAAGGAATCAGATTAATATAAATGAATTGACATGTTTATTTAGTGTCTGACACATTAAATATTGCATTTTTAAATATTGTTTCATTTTAAGATTTATTTCAGAATTAACTATAGAACCGGATATATCGTCACATTTTCATGCACAGCAGCATTTCCAAGAACATATAAAAACAGAATATAGGCCAACTGAAAAAAAAATAAATTAAAAAATTCTGAGGGTATAATCTTGGATAAAAATATCACAGTTTCACAGTATTGTGATTACTGCTCTGAAATGTGTTTTTTTTTATCTCTGTGTAAAAAACAGCTACTTTTTCCCCATTGAACACAATATGTTTTGTTTTAAGAAACATTTAAAATATTTTGTAACAGTAAACATGCCAGGCTAAATAATAATTTAATAAAATAGTACTATCTTCATTAGACTCAAAAACACTGATTTCTTGTGAAGGCATAATAAGCTATTTGTTTTTCAGATGTTTGCTGAATCGTGAGCTGACCAGTAGCTTTTGATGTGGAGGGTCTTTTGCTGCTGTAAATAATGTTGGACTATTTTTTTAAGTCTTTGATAACGCGCTAAAAACCATATACAATGCATCCGGAAAGTATTGATACTTTACTTTTTCCACATTTTTAATGTTTCAGTCTTATTTCAAAATGGATTAAATTCATTAATTTCCTTAAAATTCTACACACAATCCCCATAATGTGTGTTGACCCGATTTTAGTTAATCATTTACAAGTCAATATTGCCTATATGGATTGTAATTTTAAAAAAAATTAACATGTAAAATTGCAGTGTTAAATGCAATGCCATCAAACATTTTAGACGCACCAGTGCAAAAAGCTAGTCTAGAGCACTTGGAATGCTGGTGTAGTTCTAGTTAAATTCAGTTCAGTTAAAGCTGTATATGCAGCAGGTCTCAAGTATAGGATTTAGTATTTAACTAATCTTAACAACTAAACATTTACGAATCTGTATTAGCCAGCTCATGTACTACAATGTAACATACTGTATATTGCCACCTTGATACTTAAGCTTTCTTTAAAATATTTTGTGTTCAACCGATTAATTAATTCTTTCATTTAATTTTTTCTGTGCAATAGTATAGCTTACACTGGTGTATTTGTATGGACCCCCCAAAATAGCGGAGGCCACTTTCTGGCCACCCAAGTATAAACTTCTAGCCTAGCCACTGTGAACTACCTGTCTGTCCTGCTCCAGAACTCTTTGTCGGCTGCTTGTATGTCTGGATACAGCTGCACAAGTCTTTTAACACTGACAAATACAGCCTCTGCACATCCTCACAACCAGGAGAACAGAATGATCAGGAGGACCTAAAAATATAACCAACTGAAATCAGTTGAAATGTATTTTGTCTTGTAATGATGGCACAAAAATAAATTATTTTTCACAAAGGATGTGCTGTTACCTATGAAACGGTCTATAATGAATGATCTTTTGATCCTGTTTCCTTGATGTCATTCACTCAGAGATGGTTTGAACATTTGATTGTATCTAAACTGTAATGAATTTAAGTTACAAAAACATTGATAGCAGGACCATTGATCTTGTAACTTATACAAATTGTTAAGTATTGAACAAGTCTGCAACCAAACTAGTCAAGTTAATAATACTAATCTCAACTCAACTATGATTAGTTGTCTTGTTTCTGCTGCCCAGACGGTCACACCTGCTTATAAAAAAAGGAAAAAGTATGGTATTTTTACAACAATGAAACTGCAAACAACTTAACTATAAGGGAGTAAACAGTGAGCATCTTTTATTATAAGCAATTTACTGAATACTTTGTCACTGGTATTACCTAAAAACCAAACGTCCCAAGTTTGGCTCATAGCTGTCCACACATCTGCCCAGTAGCTTGTGGTAATACTGAAGACACTGATCAGCTGGTCCAACTGAGTTTGGAGTTGAACTGCAATCAGGCATCCAATACTGCAAAGAAAGAGAAACTCACTTTGGGTTAACAAATAATGTAATCCCACACATTTCAAGTAATTGTGCAGTTAATTCTCTTAAAATGAATGAATGAATTCTCTTATTGAATTTTCTGAGAGCTTATGATTATATTTTGTCTTCCCAAAATAGCATGTACTGAAACACAAAATTATATAAATATAATTTAATAAGAACGTGACGTGGTGGCACAATAGGTAGTGCTGTCGCCTTACAGCAAGGATGCTGACTCGAGCCGCAGCTGGATCAGCAGGCATTTCTGTGTGTAGTTTGCAAATTCTCTCTGCGTTTGCGTGGGTTTTCTCTGGGTGCTCCGGTTTTGCCTACAAGTCCAAAGACATGGGGTACAGGTGAATTGGGTAGGCTAAATTGTCTGTAGTGTATGAGTGAGAACAAGCGTATATGGTTGTTTCCCAGTGATGGCTTGCAGCTGGAAGGGCATCCACTGCGTAAAACATATGCTGGATAAGTTGACAGTTCATTCCGCTGTGGTGACCCCAGATTAATAAAGGGACTAAGCAGAAAAGAAAATGAATGAATGAATGAATGAATGAATGAATTTAATAAGAGTTAAACTGATCTGTTAACATGTCTGTCAGGAGCTGATCTACCTGTTGTCAAACTGATGAAAATGTTTTCTCAATTTACTTTAACATTTTTGTGTTTGTTTATGTTTTTATAACTTGCAGCCATTGTTAAATTTAAAAGTATTTTAAACATGCATGGACATCTAAATGCATATAGGGCACATATCTCAAAACATTATAAAATATTTCCAGATAAATCAATTTTGAATTAAAATGTATATTAATCTCCAGACTTGCATCTCCCTGATCTTTTTAAAAGAACGGCCATTCGTTTGCTCATCACTGTTTTACAAGTGTCTGGCAGTCAGTCAAAAATATACTTACATATAAAGATGTTCATCAGCAACACGGCACTTAGGTTAAACTTAGACCTCCTTTTCAGTTGATGTGGAAAACAAAAGCAAAAGAAAGAAAAAACAAAACGACTGAATACAAGTTGCATATCATGCCTGTACAAATCAAAAATTATTCATTTAGGGCTTAAATTGTCTTGTTTGAGGATGAGTTAAGGTGTAAGGGATGGGTGAACAGTGTAAATATACATGTAATTCATAGCTATGATGTAAAGCTGAATTTTCAGCATCATTACTCAAGTCTTCAGTGTCACTTGATCTTTCAGAAATCTTTTTTTAAGATGTTGATTTAGTGCTTGAGGTTGAACTAATATAATGGTGATTATCAAATGGTGCTGATTTGCTGCTCAAGAAACATTTCGGATTGCTATCAATGCTAAAAACAGATGTGATGACAAATAATTTAGTGTAAACTTTTTTCTAAGATTTAATAAATCAATTAATCATAAAAAATTAAACAAAATAAAAATCACAAATATTACTTCATTAGCAGCAAATCTATATATTTACTAAGTTCTGAAGAATCATGTGATGTGAAATTTAATACCACTCACATGTTTCAATGTCAAAACTTTCTTAAAACAACTGCAATACAGACAAGTAACAGATGCATAATATATAGACATGTAACATTTGCATAATTATGTGCAATGGAAATTCATATGAATTAATCCTATGCTTAAAGTTACCTGTCTTTCCTGTATCTCTGTGATCAGCTCCCTTCAGAAATTTAGGAATCTTGAGTTATATTTTCTGTAGCAGGAGGTTATTCTCTCACTCCTGAAACCACAGAACACTTTTTTACTTAACATTTAGTTTAAGATACCATGAAATATCAAAACACGATTGAACTTTTGATTCACGGTCCTTTACAGTAACGTTACAATGCGTATTTTAGACTACATATGGAGTGCATTCAATAAAACATTGACAAAACCTCTCATCTACACATAAAGAATAAATAAAAGCCAAAACTTTAACAAACAAGTTTAACAAGAGCTAACATTAAGTAAGTTAACGTAATATTACCCTGACGCTAACGTTACCAGTGCTAATATGCTAACGGACTTTTACGAAGACTTACCACTCTTATATAACATACTATTCAACTGAATATTCATCAATTGCCAATAATAAATGTGTGAGGAACAGTTTTATGTAGTATTTGCTTTGTTTTAGGGACTAAACTTACCTGAAAACAGTCAAAACGGCAGCTTGAGAGAAGTCGTGTTGTGTCTTTTGGGTGGTGTCGTGTCGTGTTAGCTTCGTTTCCCATAGCAACATCCTCTCCGCTCCAGTGTTTGAAGACGCGCGCGCGCACATTAAAGTCTTGCAGTATTACATTTATAAACATGATCACTCCATAGACAATTTAAATAATAACCTTGTATTTTAAATCTTGAATTTAAAATGTATTTAGCAGTTTTATATACGCTATTATCTTTAAGACGAGCTTTATAGCCTACTAAACTGTTACAAAACAAACACTTTATTTGTGCATCAGATTCACTGTCAAAAATAAATAACCAATAAATATAAATGCAAGTATATATAAAACAAAGATGTCACTCTGTAAAAAGGTGTTTATTTTAATTAAACAGCCGAAATGCAGAACATACTTGATTTTTACACTGGGAAATGTAGAAAAAGCCACAATAAAAAAAGCAAACAGCAGTTAACACCAGAAAAAAACAACGTTTTCATTATTAAAGCATAACAATAAAACTTTTTATATTTTAATGAATTGAAATCATGTATTGTAGGCATTTTGGTCAGTTTTACTGCATTAATGTAGGCTATTTAAAGCTGGACCGACCGACGCAGTTCACATGATGCATGTCGCGTTGTCTAATTTATTATGCACGCAAAAACTTACTTGTAAACCAAATATGTTGCCGGATTCTTTCATGGGTATGAGAGATAAAGTGCTTCGTCGGCCTCTGGTCGTTAACCGATGCAGAGCCGACGTTTGTTGAGCTGGAACAATAGAACACACGACCGAACGATCATGCGTATGTTTGGCCGATCATATACCGATGTTAGAATTAAAGGGGCCGACGTGTTGACCTTCGGCCGACGTCGGCCCAACGTATGTGTGCTGTCTGGGACTTTTGGAATAACCAATTTGAGAAGATCAACTGGAACTTGATCTGAACCTATAACAACAACAAACATTGTGTCACTAAGAAAAAGTCAGAGAAACGTACTTAAAAATTATTCATAAAATATATCCAACCAATCAGTTTATCAAGAGATAAAAAGTAGATTTTTCTGAATCTTGTTTTTTTTTTTGTGGAATAAATGTTGAAACTGTTATGCATTAGTTTTTTTTAATTGTATGTATGTTAAATATGTATGTTTTGGTTTGATGTTGAATGTCTATTTATTATACTGATGGTCATAGAATTAATATAAAGAAAAGAGATGTAATATTTTATGTAGATAAAAAAGAAATAGATAAGGATCACCTGTTTATGTAAAATCATTATTATTTGTTTTACAATTATTAGGCTAGTTTTATATACACAAGTGTAAGTGGTCAGAGAGGAAGCCTAACATCTTCCATTTCAAGGCTGATTTAAACATTTATTTTGAAACTCTTAAAGGACTTTCAAGTCGTAAAGCAACCAGAACTGTGAATATACTCCAAAAACTAAACTCCCCTTCTCTATAGTAATTGTTATGTGTACCCTGCTCTTGTTCTATAAATGTATATTTTTTCTCTCCTTCTTTCTTTATTTTTGTTTTTTTTTTTGCTAACAGATTTTTTTGCTGAAATGTGAATATCCCATTTTAAGATTTGTTATGCATTTGATTGGAAATGTTCAGCAAATACAATTATTATTTTTTTTTAAGTGTTTAAGGCCATTTTGGTCATCAAACAGTAAACATCTGTCATCTTCTCATCAATGACATGCATCTAAACCAGAAGAGGGCAAACTCTGTCCTGGAGGGCTGGTGTCCTGCATAGTTTAGCTCCAACACTAATCAAACACAACCTGAACATGCTAATCAGTGTCTTCAAGATCATTAGAAATCTATAAGCAGGTGTGTTTGATTAGAGTTGGAGCTAAACTGTGCAAGACACCGGCCCTCACCGACTTTGCCCACCCCTGAATCTAAACAGTTTCTGGGTAAATGCTTGTAAATCGCCCATGTCTTGAGGTAGTTCATTATGAGTCAATTAACCTTCTATGTGTGATTTGATTGGACAGGAATCAATGATTTTTCTAATCCCCATAGACAAGAAAAATAAAGAATAATGCAGGTTGAAGGAAAGTAGTGGAGGAAAAGCACTGATACAGCACTAAAATGCACTCAAGTAAAAGTACACATTTTTTAAAACTACTTAGTAAATTACAATTACTAAGAAAAACTAATTACAGTAATTTGAGTATGTGAAATTTGTTACTTCACACCACTGGTTAGTAGGAGAGTTAAAAATATCTAAAAAGTATTTGTGTTGACTTACACAACCAAACCTATTGCAAATGCAAAACAGCAGGGGGCACAATATGTCCTGTCAACTGCAAATGTCAATGTGTTTTTTTTAACTTCAATTTAAATAGTAAGAAAACAAATCAGCTAAATTGTATATGAGCTGAAAGTTTATGGTGTCTGTTTTTAAGATATTGCCTGATTATATTACTCTTCATCTATTAAAACACACGTTTAAATAATGCACAATTCCTTGCAGACATTTCACTTGTAAATTTAAATAGCTTGTAAATATACGTTAACCCAATGCTGTTAAAATAGAAACAATCAATGCAACAGATTGTCAATGCACATCGGCTATGAAGTATCTTGTGAAAAGATGCGTAACTGTCAGCGAGGGGTCTAAAAATATACAGGAAATGCTGGTGAGACTTTTTTTGAGATGAGAGGACAAGAGCCTCTTTGATGGAGGCCGTGGTTGTCATTCACTAGAACAGAAAACCCAGGGCAAGGGCTACTTCCTGTAAGGTAAAAGTAGACACAGAGGAGAAGCAATCAAAACAGAAGAGCTAAAAACTGCTGCACATCACTTACAGGCCAAGCAACAGGAAGGTTCAGCATTTCAGGGAATGTTATGGAAATGAGCAGGACAAGCACTCTATTGTTGTTGGCCTCATGTGTGTCCTCTGCAGGTACAAGCTTTTTTATGTATTTGTTCGGTGTCGTATATATATTTGGAAGATTCATAACTCACTATATATCATCAAAAAATCATAATTGTGATGGTTCATTATGAATCTCAGTGGCTGTGAAATATGCATTTGTGAAATCTGGAGTGAATTTTTAGATGATTTTATTTTATTTTTTGTGAGTGTTTTCTCCTAAGGTCAAACATCAGATCATCTTCGTGTGGCCATTTTAGTTTCAACACAACCAGCAATACTTGTAGCAGAAAGGTTTTAGGCGCCGACTGTGTTTGCAATATAAAGGTTACATTGCTATGATTGCCTGTAACAGTTATCTTCGTGTTTAAATGTTGTTTCCTGAGATTAAAAAAGGAGGATTTCAGAAACACCTTTTGCGAAACTTTTAGTGTTTTTGAAGCTCAATGGCTGCTTTTTAAATCGACAACATCAAGGATTGCTTATACACGCTGTGTAGATTATACTAGATTATTTACCATGTAAGTTAAACAATAATTATAATAATTAGAGATGATTTATAACATAAGAATATATATTTAACTTTATCATGACTGTTATATTAGTTGTGGTTGTTGTGATTAAAAAAAAGTTTAAGTAAAACAGATATATAAATATTTGCAGCACCAAAACATGCGTAAGGTTAGGATTCAGTAATATGAAATACTTTATTAAAATAAAAATACTTTTAAATAAATGTGTTTTGAAGTAATGTGGTGGATTCAGTGGGTGCGTCCAGGTTTCAGTTAACAAATATTTAATCACAGAGTTCAATAACTTTTAACATAAAATAGTATTATAGTTGATGAGAAATAATCCTTTTCAAAAACATTTCTGAGTATTTATTCATAAAGGTTTATATTGCAAATATTAATAAAATCATACAAACTAAACTACTTTTGGTTCCTGTTATATTTACAGTATATCAATGTACGGTATCACTCAGTAAGAGGAAGAATTGACTAAACTGAGTGAAAACAGATAGCTATCTTACCAGAAATCCCAAATACACATTTATTTTTCGGACATTTAGAATGAATCTAAGTCAAATATATAATTACGATTGCATAACAATCAATGCAGATTGATTTCCACACTGTAAAACCCAAAAAGTGAATCTACATCAAACCATTTAAGGAAACCGATTAACAAACTATTTAAGTTCAAAAACTAATCCCAATGAGTTCTGTGAACTTACATCATTTGAGTAAATGAAGCAATTTGAGCACAGTAAAACCTGATAAATGGAGAGAACTCAAACCAACTGAGTACTGTAAAACCCAGTAAGTTAAGGCAACTCAAACCGTTTGCGCAAACTAATTGCAACAAATCATTTGAGTTAAAAACTAATCTGCATGAGTACTGTGAACTTACTTTATTTAAGTTGAAGTAATGAGGTATTTAAATGAGTAGAGTTAACTTTCAGTAAATTTTGAGTAACTACACTCATTTCATTTGATAAAGTTGACTGTTGTGCTTAATAGTGTAAGAGCATTTATCGATTTCTTAATTCGTTATGATAACGATGTCGATGTAAAATATAATCACATATGATTATACTTTAACCCTCCGATTAACCCACAATTCTGGTTACACTTTTTTACTTTTGAGGCCAAATCTGTATTGCTTATTAACTAGAATTGTGTAAATTAATTTATGTCATGATTGACTTTTTAAATAGCCCAAGTAACCCCTCCCTCCCTCACTCCTTACCTTTTATAGACATAGATTACCTATTGTCAAATTGGCAAATTACCTTAAAATATCACTAAATTAGGTACAGGATCACCGTGGTTACAAAATGACAGGACATTAAAAAATTTTGCATGTTAATTTAATGTTTACAGAGTTATCCAGATTAAATAAAGAGAAGTCATTGCATTTGAAGCAAAAACAAATATGTTAAGTACTTACTGGTATGTACAGTACAAGTTTGTATTATTCAATGGTTAATACAAGGTTAATACAAGGGTTAAGAGTTAATCTATAGTTATACTCTAAGTTGTTTTTTTATGTTATGGTGTACTTATAATAAGTTTAGATTTCAGTTTATGATTGTTACATGTAAATACACATAGTTTAATGTTATTACAATTAAAATGTATAATAAAAATACTGTAAAACCATAACTAGTCTCTTCAAGTAAATCACAGGCTTAAAAAAATAAAAACCTTTGTATTCGCGTCTGATTTAAATTTTAAATACATTACATATATATATATATATATATATATATATACAGATGTGAACAAATGTGAATCAATTAGTTCCATGCTAAAATAAATACTGGGTTTCACTAATCCAATGTTGGGTTAATTTTTTTCAATTTAATTGAAATGACGTTTTTTACCATAATGCTTGGGTTTGTCCATATTTAACCCAACAATGGTTTACGACAACCCAGTATTTTATAATTCCATTTCCTACTGTACGTCGATTGTTCTCTTTGTTTTTGTTAGCAGTGAACATGCGTTTGTAGATGAGTTTGTGCCATTTAAGTATATGAAATGTGTGTGTGGTCAAGTTTGCACAGGAGCCCCCATAAACACCTACAGAGTTTGATCTGCAGTGAAGCAAAGAAACTTCACTGTTCTGTGCTCATTATAGCTCTTCACTAGACTTGTGCTGAGAAACCACAGAAGTAGAACGCACACACACACACACACACACACAGAGACATAGATGAGTCCGGGCCCCTGCTGAAGGTATTTTGCTCTGTATGCTTTTGTATTCTGCTGTATGTCTGTCTGTCTGTCTATCTATCTATCTATCTATTGATCCCTCTTTCTGTCTATCGTTTTATCATTCTATCTATCATTGGGTCGATTTTGCCTGCTTTATACGTTTATTTAAATAATTGTTTAGTTGTTACAATAATTCTTAAACTATCATTAATGGAGAAATATATTGACATTGTTAAGAACCAAATTATACACTGTAAAAAATGCTTTTCCATACAGTTTCTTCATGTTGTCGCAACACAAATTGATTAAGTTAACATCAAAGTTTTTAATTTAACTGCATTGAACATAAAACATATAAGTTGTTTCAAATAAAACGTAAGAGTTGTGCTGTTTCCGCTCATTTTAAAAAGTAGTTTGAACAAGCTGCAAGTCATTTTGAGTGTTGTTGATTTAAAAAAATGATTAAAGCAAAATCTCACAAAGTGTTTGGTGCATCATAATGAATGCACGAGGGAAATAATGTAATAATCAATAATTCAATATATTTTGGGCAAGACATATTTGTTTTGTGTGGTTTTAACAAATTGTTATTTTTTAAATAAGGGCAAGATGTCCCATTTTGTTCTAATTCCACATCGAATTAAAGTTACAAACGTGATATTTACATACATCGAAAATATTTTAAAACCAAGCGTCTGATGTTCAAAATGACTTTTGTGGACGTAAAATGATCAAATTAAAGGTGAAATAATGTTAATCTATTGCAAATATTTAATTCTGTCTAATGATTAAGATTTGAAGGATCAGTTAATCATTGAATAAACAAATACAGTTAAAGTCAGAATTATTAGCCCCCCTGAATTGTTAGCCCTCCTGTTTAATGTTTTCCCCCAATTTGTGTTTAATGGAGAGATGTTTTCAACACATTTCTAAACATCATAGGTTTAATAACTCATTTCTAATAACTGATTTATTTTATCTTTGCCATGATGACAGTAAATAATATTTGACTAGATATTTTTCAAGACACTTCTATACAGCTTAAAGTGACATTTAAAGGCTTAACCAGGTTAATAAGATTAGGCAGGTTAGGGTAATTAGGCAAGTTATTGCATAAAGATGGTTTGTTCTGTAGACTATCGAAAACAAATATAGCTTAAAAGGGCTAATAATTTTGACCTTAAAATGTTTGTTTGTTTTTTTAATTAAAAACTGCTTTTTTTCTAGCCAAAATAAAACAAAGAGGGCTTTCTCCAGAAGAAAAAAATATTACATACTGTGAAGATTTCCTTGCTCTGTCAAACATCATCTGGGAAAAATTTAAAAAAGAAAAAAAAAATCAAAGGGGGGCTAATAATTATGACTTCAACTGTAAAACGGAAAGTCACTTTACAATTTAATTTTTTGATGCTTAAAAATACCTTTTTGTTTTTAACCGATGCATGTCTTTGTTATTTCAAGCCAGACTTATTAAGAATTATTATTAAAAGCATGCACAATCAAAACATTTTTGTAGAATTTCTTCGTAGTAATCTGAAACCTCAAATCTTTTTTTCCAAAGTTCCATAAATCTTGCCATCTATGATTATTTGTGCAAAATGTAATCATCCAGCTAGAAGATAGATTTTTCTGATAGTTTATAATACATTTTAATTGGTCTCAATGGTTTACTTGTAAGGTTGTAGCCAGTTTACATGAGATTCATCTAATATGAAAAATGCAGGCTGAATTAGTTATAAGTTTTGGTCATTATCCAGCAGTTATTTTGTGTGCCGTTGCAGTGGTAAATACAAACTTAGATATGAAATATTATAAGACTCATGAAGGCTGCGAATACAAGAATTTTTGTTTGTAAATAAAATATTTTCCATACAAAATAAAAAAGTTCATAATGTAGTTCTCTGAGACATTAGTTTTACCTTTATAGTAACAAATATCCTGTAGTTAAAAGGGGGTGGAAGAAGGAATGTAATTACCTATATTGAGAGATAAGCTATTCCAAAAGCTTTTTGTGTTTTCACACTGAAAAAAATCATGTGAATCAGGGTTTCATCTTCAGTTTTACAAAATAAGCATGAAAGTGCCAAAGTACTATTCACTGGATATATTTCATCAAGAATTTTAAAATTGACCTCTTTTGTTTTATTGGGAATGCAGTACTTATGAGGTATTAGTCAAGCGTGTGACTACAGAAACGAAAGGAATGGCTGAGTTGGAACAGAATCACAAAGACACCTATATAAATCATTTTGCTAATGATAGACAAGTTGCCAGTTACCTCAAAACTGAATAAACATCTTTCTAAAAATAAACATTTTTTCTAATCTTGTTTGATCGTCTGGCAGTTTAGACAATAAAGGTGCTTCTCATTTCTTGTCGTTTTGTCATTTCTCTCAATTTTCCACTCTTTATTCATTCTTGTTTCCTTCCTTTTTATCATTAAAGACCTCAGAGAAAGCAGCAACACAAAAAAAAAAAAAAAAATCAGTAATCATCAGGTTAATTCCACCACGTCACTTCATGAACGTTTTTTACAATTGTGTGTTTGTTTCTTCGGCAGAGGCCACTGTAAGCGACCCGACTTACTGCTACATTTTAGATGTTATTCTGCTGGTGTACTCCATCATTTTTACCGCTCTCTACTTTCGAGAGAAGGTAAGTTGCTCTCTTTTTTCAGAGTGAAGAAGTTTATCTCATGGCTTAAATCTCTAACCTGTTTTCTCCCTTATTCGGCATAGTTTTTAAAAGAAGGGCCCGTTCCTCCAGATCCTGCAGCTCCGGTCCGTAACCCCAATGAGCCCGTCTATACAGTGAGTTATCAATCACATGTCCCAGACACACTGAAAAAAATTATGTAAACTTGTTGCAAACAATTTGTATGTGTTGAATTTAAACAAACAAATTAAATTTAGCAATATTCAATTTAATTTGTTTGTTTAAATTCAACCCAAATTAATTGTTTACAACCACTTAACTTAAGAAAATTCCAAGGTACACTGAAAAAAATAATTTAAAAATGATTCCTTGGATTTACTAAAAAAATTTAAGTTAAGGGCTTGTAAACAAATTATCTGGGCTGAATTTAAACAAACAAATTATGTTAAACAATACTAAATGTAATTTGTTTGTTTAAATTCAACACAAATAAATTGTTTGCAACAATTTTGCAGACAGCATTTTTTCAGTGTAGTCCAAGTAATCATCCCTAAATCATTTTTGGTGAATCATGCTTCATATTCAAGGTTTAAACATACCTGATTTGTTGATCCGTATTGTAATAAATGGGTCATTACACTGTAAAAAACAACAACAAAGGAATTAAATGTAATTAGTTAACAATAAGAATAATGTTTCAGGATGTTTAGTGACAGTCAAATAACACTCAAAAAATAGTGTTTATTGTGTGTTCAAACTACTTATTTAAAATGAGCTGAAACAACACAATTCTTTAGAGTTTTTGGGACAACTTAATTGCTTTATGTTAAACGCACTTAAGTTTGCAAAAACTAACAAGTTAGCTTAATTCCTTTATGCTGTCGCAACAATTGATTGTGTGAAACTCGGCATTTTATGTGGTAATTAACATCATTAACCGTTTTTGTGATATATTTGTATGTAAAAGACATAATAAAGTGATTTACAATGATTGAGTAATCGCATGTTGGTTCTCACAGAACACATTTGTATGATATTTTCAGTGAGACCTCGAAAGGCGTTTGAAAATATGTGGCCTGACTAACTTTTAATCTAACATTTGAGGTTACTGAAATGGCTGAAACCTTGAAATTTTGTCTTCCTTCCTTAAAGCCCCATGATAACTATCACACTAATAGAACTTTCTAACACTTAAAGCAAGACACTGCAGGTAACAGTAAAAACATAACAAAATTTTTCCTATAATTTTAGCATTTATCACTATAATAACCCAGTTACTAACATTTTTTTATTATTACAAATCTATTACAAAAGATGGCTTTTTTATAGCTCAACAATAAAACAAAGAAAGGTTACGTTAAATTCGAAATGACGATCTCTGTCAAAGCCATTTGTTCCTCCCAAGCATTCTCTCTCTCTATTTAGATGGGATGGTGGGCCAAATGAAAGGTTATGGGCCAACTTTGACCCATGTCATGACCCATGACCTGTTTCTGTTTTTCTTCTTCTTCTGTTGAACACAAAGAAAGATATGATGGTCACGGGTGGCCATTGATTTTCAAAGTAATTTGTTCCCTTACTCTGTTTATCTCTTAATTAACAGTTTCCATATTTAGTGATTCACAAGTGTTTTCCGTTATTTCATGGTTGTGAATTACGTTATGGGGCCTTGATCTCCTTGAGCTGTTGTAAATTCAACTTTACAGTTTAACAACGTGACTTTTATTGACATTTTGGTGGTTTGAAATAATAAGGGTATAAGAAACAGTATATATAGAGAAATAAGTCTGTAAAACAACAGAAAATGTACTAACAGTTTATTACAAGGTTTTTGTAGCATAATATAAAACACCAATCCAGAAAATATATCACTTTAAACAGTTTTTTGCAAACTTTTAAAGGTTAAAAGCTGTCAGAAGAAAGATCATGGTCCCATAATGCAATTAACAGCATTAAAAAAAAACCTGAAACACAAGCTAAGTAGAATTGCTAATTAATGAATATTTTACTGTGTACTATGGATGTCAATTTCTACCAGTTTCCAACATGCTTCAAAATATCTTCTTTTGTGTTCTGTATTCTAAAGTTTTGGAACACCGTGAAGGTGAACAAACTATTGAAACATTGGATGACGCCAAGTCCAAAATTTGCCTATCTTTTTTGACATATTATAGTCTATTCACAAAGGGGATTATGTCTTTTTTACTCCATAATTCAGCAAATTCTGCAAACATAATTCAGAACATACTGCAAAAAGTAGAATAAAATGTTGTAAATAATAACTAGTCATGTTTATGACTCTGCAAAAACCTTTAGAACACAGATTCAACAGATAAAATGGTAAATTTTTTGCTGAAGTAGATATTTATGGCTCAGTGCAGGAGAAAAAAATATGCATTGTAATTAAAATCTGCAAATACAAATTAAGTATGTACAGGAACATATTTGCATAAAATGTACTTATGTATGCATGTATGATGTTTTCTATCCATTAGGCTGAAAAAACAAAATGAAAAGCCAAAAAAGTTCCAAATCTCCCAATCTCAGCAGAAGGCCTATAGTGTCTTGCCTTAAATCTACATAAATGTTTTATTTGTTAACATAGTTTCACCTTAGTTAACAATAAATAACAATAAAGTTAAATTGAGCTGGTACTTGTACAGTATAAGGGGTGTGATTCTTAGTTGATGTTTATATTTATTATTTACTAATACTTTATTACAATCAGAAACTGTAAGTAAAGTGAACCAACAATGAACAACTTTGTTCTTGTTAACATGAACAAGTCTTTAAAAATATTCCAACAAATAATTCTCGATGTCATTGTTTGTGTTATGTCTGCACTTTCACTATACACACATTGTGATTCTGTATCGAATACACTTAAATATTAATAATTAATTTTAAGATTATGAACTTGGCTAGTGCATCTGAAAATATCTATAGTTTAACCATACATTAAACTTCCACAAATTCACAATTTCACATATGTGCAAGCACTGCCTAACAGTAATGAGAAAGCGTACAAAAGATTGTGATTTTTTTATAACATGTGTGCTGTATTTTCCAGGACTTAGATCTACCTCAGGTGGGCTCCGATTATCAACAACTGGACAGACCGGTAAGTACCATCTTGTTTTATTCATTGTAAAAAAAAAATGTTCACCTAAAAATTAAAATGTACTATGAAGTATTTACTCACCCTGATATGGTTCCAACCCATTTGAGTTTATTTCTACTGTTGAACACAAAATAAGCTATTTTGAAGAAAGCTGAAAACTAGTAGCCACTGTCTGACTTCCATAGTAGGAGGAAAAACAAACACTATGGAAGTCAATAGTTGCAGCTAATAGTTAATAAGCTAAATTACAGCTAATAGTTAATATATAATATATGCAGCGTCTTTCAAAATGTGTTTTATCGTCAACAAAGAAAGAAAGTCATGTATCTTGGATACATGAAGACTGAGTAACTTATTTGATTATTTCGAAAAACATGTTGTAAACAGTTGAACGCTGTCCTCACTTCCTTGTTATTAATCGAAAATACAGTACTAGCTGCTTCTTTAAAGAAAAAAAAAATGTTTTAAACGCCTAAACCTACATCTGCCCTGTACATCTACATTTTCAGATTAGAAGACGAGAACCAGAGACACATTATCAGGTAACTGCCACTTAATTTTTTTTTAGAAAGGATGTGGATCAGATCTGTGAAAACAGATGAGATGAACCAGATAAGCTTCTTCACTCAAGTAGTCATCTCCGATCCCCGCTGCCCTCCTGTGGCCATTTACAGTCGTGCACTTCTATCAGTGGTGGTTGATGTATTTACCTTGGTTTGTTGTAGGAACTGAGAGCACATGCGAGTGATGAATACCAGCAAATAGGAACTAAAGGAAAAGTAAGTACACAGATACGAGACAAGTTTGTGGGTTAGAGGGAAAATGCACATAGGCGATCTTTCATTTACCTGGCAAATCAATATAAATATTGATCTTTGTATCTTTTTGTTGCAGCCACGCAAAGCCAAGAGCAAATCTAATGAGGTAATGTGATTTAATTTTTCTTGGTTTAATATTTGAAATGCCGATCATTGTAACACGAAATTATGAAGGACGAAACCTGCAAAAAAATAAATAAATCCATAACTTCCTGCATAAATAAAACATCAGATAAATATGCCTAAATAAATAAATGTATATGGAAAAATCCACAAATCAACATGCTAATGAGAAGTTGTCTGTCAATCATCAGAGTCATCACAGTCAAAAAAAATTGACTGCAAAACTTTCAACCGATCAACCAATGATGACATAAAGACCGCCTTCTGATGATTGACAGACAGCCTCTCATTGGCATGTTGACCTGAGAAAAAAGTAAATATGCAACTAACAGTTTGGCATTTTCTTATTCCCCCAACATTCATGTAATTTATTTAATTATTTTCCTGCCTGCACTATTAACTATTTAAATATTTATTTATGCAGGAATTAGTGGATTTTTATATACATTTATATATTATATAATATAATAGGTATATTTATTATAATATACATATATTTTTTCATATATTCATATATTGAATATTTTATTTATACAGGAGTTTATAATTTTTTAAACTTTTATTTATATATTTGAATATTTATTGATTGTTTTTGCAGGTTTCGTTCTCTATATGAAACACTGTGGGTGAAGATGAAAAAAAATGTTTTTTTTTAAATTTGCATAAATCTAATTCCTCTGATAATTGATTACATTAAGAACTGCTAACATTTTTTACAAAATGTAAACCAATGTTAAGTATGCAAATTACTCTTATTACACATGCACTAATTTGCATATAATGAAAAAAAACTGACAATTATATTTTTTACATTAATAAAAGGTTTGTACTGAAAATATTTTGAGAATCAGAGCTTCATAATTCATAAAATATTGTGAACAGAAAAAAAGTACATATAATTGGAAAAAAAATAATTATTGTGAAATCTACAGACATAAATATAGCGACACACTAAAACATGATACTACAAAATGTCATGACAACAAATGTTGTTACTTACATTTTTTAATAAGTTAATCAGGCTTCAACCAACTTTTTATATATACAACAACAACAACAATAATAATAAAATAATACAATTAATAAATAATAATAATATTAATTATCCTCCCTACATTTATATAGTGCTTTTCTAGACACTCAAATTGTTTTACACACTTTTTTGGGGGGAATCTCCTCATTCAACACCAGTGTGCAGCATCCACCTGTATGACGCACGAATAGCCATATTGCGCCAGAGCACACACCAGCTGATTGGTGGAGAGGAGACAGAGTGATGAAGCTAGTTATAATATGGAGGGGGTTAGAAGGCCATGATGTACAGAGGCCAGTGGGCAAACTTGGCTGGGATGCCGGGGTTAAATTCGTTTCTTTTTTTTTTTAAAGACATCCTGGGATTTTTAACGACCACAGTGAGTCAGGAGCTCGGTTTAACGTCTCATCCTAAAGGCGATGCTCACTGAATAGTATAGAGTCCTTATCAATATACTGGGGCGTTAGGACCCACAAAAACCACAGGTTGAGCGCTCCCTCCTGCTCTCACTAACACCACTTCCAGCAGCAACATAGCTTTCCCATGTGGTCTCATTCAGGTACTGACAGAGCGTAGCCTTGCTTGGCTTCAGTGGGCGACCATGTAATACAAGGTTTAACTTAATAAAACTTTGTCACTTTTACTAATGTAACGTAATGTATGTTTTACAGTGCAGAAACACTTAAAAGTCTATGTTTTCTTTACAATAATCCTATTTTTTAAAAGTAGCTCAAATCTGATCAAATTGGTCTTGTACAAAACCTTCTCAACTCTAGGCAGTTTTAAACCTACCAAACTATTTTGTGATTACCTGAAACCCTCATTACAGAAACATATGTGGCCATAGAGGATACATTTGGCAAGAATAACTAAAAGGGTGCTTGTATACTGAATAGGAGATGGTATTCTTGTATTAAAGTCATTGGCTTATTTCTTTAAAGGGCCGAACAGGGAGAAAAAGGGACGCAGCTGAGGCTGTGGAGATGGAAACGTTTCCTACTGTATGAACACACAGCAAAGACGGAGGAGCAACTTGTAAATCTGCCAACAGATAAATTATATATCTTTGTAGGATGCACTTGTGTCTTGATTTCTGTATTTGTTACACAGCTAGTATGAATAATCAGTATTTTGCAGTCTTGCTTGTATAAACGCACACACACACCGTTTAAAAGACTGCGGTCAGTAAGAAGCAAAAAAAATCTCAGCAAGGACAGATTCAATTGATGAGAAATTAAAGCTGTAAATAATATTGTTATAAATTGTATTGTTTTGAGAATTTTATTCATGAATTTGAGCATCAGCTTTAAAAAAGGCCTTTTTTACCTCCTGTTTTCCCCGAATGTACAGTCAGGTCCATAAATCTTGGGACATTGACACAATTCTAACATTTTTGGCTCTAGACACCAACACAGAGGATTTGAATTTTGAAATGAAACAAACAAGACTTTAACTGCAGTATGTCAGCTTTAATTTGAGGGTATTTGCATCCAAATCAGGTTAACGGTGTAGGAATTACAATAGTCTGCATTTGCGCCTCCCACTTGTTAAGGGACCAAAAGTAATTGAACAGAATAATAATCATAAATCAAACTTTCACTTTTAAATACTTGGTTGCAAATCCTTTGCAGTCAATTACAGCCCGAAGTCTCATAGACATCACCAGACACTGGGTTTAACCTCTTGTGATGCTCAGCCAGTCCTCTACTCAGTTCCTGCTTGTTCTTGGGGCATTTTCCCTTCAGTTTTGTCTTCAGCAAGTGAAATGCATGCTCAATAGGATTTAGATCAGGTGATTGACTTGGCCATTGCATGACATTCCCCTTCAAAACTCTTTGGTTGCTTTAGCAGTATGCTTTGGGTCATTCTCCATCTGCACTGTAAAGTGCCAAGCAATGAGTTCTGAAGCATTTGGCTGCATACGAGCAGAATACCAGCCTGTAACACTTCAAAATTCATCCTACTGCTTTTGTCAGCAGTCACATAATCAGTAAATACAAAAGAACCAGTTCCATTGATAGCCATACATGCCCACACAATGACACTACCATCACCATGCTTCACTGCTTAAAATCATGAGCAGTTCCTTTCCTTCTCTTTTCTCTCCCTACCACTCAATCTTGATCTCATCTGTCCATAGGTCGTTGTTTCAGCACTGTAAAGGCTTTTTTAGAACTCTAATCTGGCCTTCCTCTTTTTGTACATACAGCCAAAAATATAAGAATTGTGTCGATATCCCAATATTTATAAACCTGACTGTATCTTATTTCCTCTTTCTATAAATTATATTCCCTCTTTCTCTTATCTATAGAATTCTAAAAATGCTACCTCTCGACTGACCTATCCTACCCTGAAATGTGTGATGTTTGTGTATGGTCAGAGGGGTCCCATTTCACTGCATGTAACAGTGTTGTGAAAATTAAAGGCTTTTTATCATCATCAACCTCAATCCTTTGAACAGTCGTTATGAATGCATGTATATGTACATATAGTATACTGTATATTTGCAATTATGTCTTATGTATGTTACGAAAGATAGTTAATTATTAATGTATGTTAATGACATGTTGTGTTTTAAAAGAAATTCTCTCTGAAGATGTAAGAGACGATTTTCTACATATCCTGAAAGTGTAAAATAATCCATTTGACTGTGATTACTGTAAACCGCAAGGCTAAAAATAAACGAATACACATCATCTCTTTACGTTCAATGTCCTGAGTCAGAATAATAAAAAAACAAGCACATCTTAGAATATTAAAACACTTGGAAAATGGTTTAATGATGTTTACAACAAAAGAGAACTGTACAGTTACAGTAAAAGATTATCTTTATATATATATTTATAAAAAAACAAACAAAATACAGCAGACAAATGCATCAAATCTACCATGTATCCTGATTCACATACTCATATTCTACACAATCATTCAGTTCTAAGCTACAGCGACGTAGCCGTTTAGCGTTCAGTCTTGGAGTGTGTGTGTTTGCTTGATTTTACAGGCCACTAGAGTTCAGATCTGTAGTGATACTGAGAAACCAACCAGTCGTCACTATTACAACAGTGAGAGTTACAGCGTTCTGAAGGGAGAAGTACAATCTATAGTATGTGACCGGGTGAAAAATGGAGCACATTCCTTGAGCTTCAGCCGTAGGAAAGATGGAAATGAGAGTACAGAGAGAGATTTCTTTTGAAATCAACGATGAAAGTTTTATATACAGTCTTTTTTTTTTACTTAACCTTTTTTCATGTTTTAAAAACAATGGTAAGTTGGGCAGTGAAACTGATATCACATACACCGACACATCCAAAAAACATACAAAAATACTATTATTTCTTTAATCTACGGTAAGACAGTTTTGCAGTTAAATTCCATGCTGTGACAGAAAAAAAAGAGCAACAGATCCGACGAACAAGAAAATTAAAAAACGTCAAACTTTTTTTGTTTGTTTGTTTTTCCCCATAAGCATCTCAGAAAAAATACCAAAATATACATCTAAGCTTTGGAATTACTGAGGTTAGGACTACTGTCGGAGCTGGGTTCAGTTTAACAACACACAAGCTGAAGGGTTTGGGAAGGAAGAGGAACAAGAACAGAGCAATCTTTGGTATCTGCATTTGTAAAACATTTCATATTTGGATATTTTGCTTTGGGATAGAGCTTATAGTTGCTTTCGACCCTCCATAAAACTATTCAAATCCATTTATAAAGAGCCATGTCGGCTCCCTTGTACGCACGACGGAGGACAACGATGCATAGTTGCACAGCTGATCAAACCAATTCAAAAATCATGAAAGCGGAAAACACACGGACAGGACAGCAAAACCACAGGACGACGGCAGCTAAAACGACGACTATGTAGAGACGTTGCATGTTTTCTGTTGCCTCCAAAGGACAGTTTTCTCCTGAGCAGGTTGCAGTTCGCCCAGGACATCCTTCAGCGTGTGTTAATAAACCTCACCCAGCCCGTGAGGGGTTACTTGAGATCCTTTCCAGAAGCCCACAGAGCTGTTTTTAGTTTGTTTTCTCTTCCTCTTTCTACCAAAGTCTGCCCGATAGGCTCATCGTGGGACCGATAATCTCAGAACTCAAGGCAGGGCATTTGGAGAGAGAGTTTAGTTTGTATACAATCACTTCAAAAGTCTTTGGTTAACATTGAGAAAGTGAGGAACAAGCAGACTGAATAACCCAGAAAAACAGGACGATATTAACGTTGAGGGGTTCATAAAGACGACGATTGTCAAATCATAAAAAAAGCTTTGGTATAAAATCAATAAGTAACATGAAATTAAATGCTAAATATAAATAAGTGGGATATATTTCTAACACAAATTCGTAATTCTGGGCGCTTATCTGGTTCGTCACTCTAAAACGTCTGCAGGCTTCTGTATTTGGGCCCCTTCTTTATGTTATTTTATCTTTCGAAGTAGATTAAAGCAGGTTTTTACTCAGTTTTTGAGTTATAAATGAGGTATACAACAGCTCCTATACTCAGCCCAGCACTCTGGTGCATGACCTCTTCTGCATTACCATCCTATTTTGTCACTAGACTGAGGGTCTACAGCGGCAAACCCCAAAACTACTCAATCAAGAGCATCCACACACTAGCGCGCCAAAATCAAGTGCCAAAAAGAGGATCCGCAACAACGTGGAAAAGTCTCGACATCCTTGGATAAATCATCTGATGAGCACACAGGTTCATTTACAGCCAAGTGGTCAACTGCATCACATGATGTATGATGCGTCCTTATATCCACTTTAACTAAAACAAACTTTCCAACCATTGAGTCTTCCTACAAAGCCTCACAATTAAGATATGAAGTCAAAGTAAATGCACCACTAGCGCCCCCTACATGTCAGCTGGAGTTGAGTTATTAGTAAAGCTCTTAACAGGTATTCAACCTACAAAATAGGCAGCAACACTTCCGAAATATATCACAAAACACAAAAGAAAACTCACAGCGTTATTATTTTCATGGTCGATACGCACCGTGACTATAGATATTGGTGCATGCTTGGTTTCATCCTTTTCACATGCGCGCACACATACACAAATAATAAAAAAATACACCTCTCACGTCATCCTGCTTGCTACAATGTGTCAAACTCTGAAATAATAGTAAGGCATAAATGATAAAAGCAAGTTTGTTGTCAAACTAAGAAAGCCAGTGACGCTGCTCCCTCATGATATACAGACAAAAGGCATAAAGCATACGTCTCAAACTGGATTCCTGGAGGGCCGCAGCTCTGCAGTGTTGCTCCAACCCTTATCAAACACAGCTGATGCAACTAATCAAGGAGTTCAAGACGCTTTGATTGATAAGTTGCATCAGCTGTGTCTGATTAGGGTTGGAGAAAAACTGCAGAGCTGCGGCCCTCCAGGAATCCAGTTTGTGACCCATGGCATAAAGTAAATCAACTCTAATGATTGTTAAAGATTGTTGAAAAGCAAAATAAATCCATAAAAAAAGAATATGAAATTTAAAGTATGAGTAGTTTGGTGCTATAACGTCCACGTCAACAAAAGCTGGTGGCTTTTCCTTTTGGAGCACCATCACAAGCCCCTCCCACGCATACAAACTACACTTAAATGTGGAGGCGGGGCACCTAACAGCCACTCCCACATCACAAGGGTGTGGTTGCAATTTTTGGTCTTCACTTTTTCTTTTTTTTTTTCCTTTTTAAGAATAGCTGTAATATAAACAAAGTCATTTTTTGTTATTTTTTCGTTTCCTTTTAGTGAATAAACATGACAAAAACACTACATTCAAACTAGATATTAGTTCAAATATAAAATATGAGCATCTTACATAAGTGAATATATATAGAATTTAGAAAAACGACGTTCTCTAATCTTGAGTCATTCCTCAGATAAATATATCAGTAACTCCCCACAGTCCCGGCAACCACCGGGGTTGTGACACTAATGCGCAAAATAAAAAAACAACACGTCAAATCTACATGTCCAGAGAGGCTACGTTGAAATTTCCGGACAGAACCAGCGGAATGAGCAGCAATAAGACCCAGCCGCAAAGACAAAGGCTTTTTTTTTTGTTGTTTTTTTCTTAACTTTGGCAAGTAGGATAACAAAATATTCATTACAAGTTAACCTGGACATACCCTTTAAGTAGTAGTAGTAGTTCTTGAAATAGCAGTAGTAGACGTTATTATTACAGATTCGCCTGTAGTTTTGTTTTCCACGTCTGTCAGAAACAGTTTTGTACATTCTGGAGTTGACTACTGGTGTCTTTTGCTTAAAGTG